GGCATTTATGTATAATTTTACACCAAATAAAAATATGAAATTAAAAATAGAAGAAAAACTAATAAGCACTAAAAAACTTCGGGAAACCAAATGTCAAAAGTGTAAAAGAATTTTCTATCGCAAGTTGGTTCCGAGCAAGGAAAACGGAAGGGGGTTAACTAAAATCAATGATGTTACTTATTGATCTGATGGCAAAAAGTGAGGTAAATTTAGCATCCTATGTCGAAGTTGTTTAGTAGATTGGTTTGAAAATTACTCAATGGATTTTAATGCTTTGGTCAAATCCAAGAAGCAAAATTTTCATCATTATCGCCATTTAGGTTTGTTGAAGGCAGAAAAAGAATCTTATAAAAACTAAACGATAAAAGGAGGTAAGAAAAATTTCCTTAAAATAACTTATATCTAAGTACATTTAAAATACATTAAGAAATAAAAGTTATGAAAGAAGATTTAAAAAAGTCCAAATAATGTAGAAAAAAGAGTTACTCTAAACATTTCCTTATTTGGTGAAATTATTCAACCTTTAGAAATAATAGAAAGGTGAAAAGACAAAGGATTATTTTTAGGTAGGCTTTTTATCAAAGATTGCCGCCGTGTTATGCTTTGAGGAAAAGATTCAGAAATAGAAAAATTAGAAGTATTTGCAAGACCTGGAATTTATTTAAAGTCTCATGGCGACTATTTAAACATAGGCGGATATGAATTCAAAGATGTTGCTAGTATCGAAGAGGAAGAAGAAATAATTAAAATTCCTCATTCCATAAATTTATAAAACATTATGCCAAAATACAATTGCCGAGGTGGCTGTGGAAAAGAAGAAACTACAGAAGAAAATCACTACATTCCAGGAGGTTGATTTTGTCCCGATTGCGAAACTAAAGAATGCAATGCTCCCTCGGGACATAACTGCAGCAAGTGTAATAAATCACTAAATAAAATGGAATTTAAATCAGCAGTTGGTCGGGATAGTTCTGTTCATGATGACCCTAGTAAAGCAGTTTGTGACTCTTGTTGCCAGGGCAATGAAAACCCTAATCACCGTTGCACTAAGTGCAATAAGCCTTTTAAGTATGGTGAGAAATATACTAAAGTAGAAAACAGCGAAAAAGCAGGAGATTACCATAAAAGTTGTTGATCCGAAGTAGAAAAAGAAAAAAACAACCCTAATTCTAACTTTGCTTGCCATGAGTGTAAAAAGCAAATCAAGGCCGGAGAAAAGTATTACAGTCAAACCATACCTGATGCTTTTCAGCCTCAAACTGTTTATTATTGTGAACCTTGCGGAGAAAAGAAGAAAAACGAAGGCACGCCTTTACCAGGAAGTGGCAAGTGATTAGAAAATAACAAATGTAAAGAGTGTGGAACTTTAGCAGTTGGAGGTTATTGTCAATTTTGTGTAAATAAGGGAGATAATAACAGAGAGAGAGAGAGAGAGAGAGAGAGAGAGAGCAAAATCGCAACTCTCAATCTAATAAATGCCCTAAATGTGGTAAATGAGCCGACTCTTTAGGTAAATGTAATACTTCCTCTTGTGAGAGAATTACTACAAAACAAACAATCCTCTTAGCAAACTTTTTAAAAAAGGTTCTTGTGAAAAGTGTGGTAAACGCAATATTTGAACCTTCCATGACTTGTTACCTGCCATAAAAGAACTTTTAGGGCGGGCTTATGGGCATGGTCAACCTAATGATTCCCAAATGTGATGAATCTGTTTTGATTGCGTAACTGCTGATTTAAGCAAAATGGTTCAAGAATCGATTGAAAAAGAAGGGATAAAATCTGCCCGAAGTCAGTGAGAGGAAATAAAGGCAGAAAGAGAACAGATGATAAATGCATTGCGAAGATTCAATCCGCAAGCAGCCGAAGAATTTGAGCAAGTTTTTCAAACTGTAGAAAAAGATTTGTATCCTAATCGGAAAAAAGGAAGTTCAGCATGAATTTGAGTTTTAGTAATTGGAGGGGCATTAGTAGTAGGGATAATTAGTTTAGTCTTATGAAAAAAGAGGAAGAAATAGTTTTTAGCAATATAAAACCCAAGTTAAGTCTGATAAGTTTACAAAGAATTTTTCCTACTGAACAATCCTGTGTTGATTACTTAGAAGCATTTATCTGAAAAGGAGAAATACCAACTTCTCCTCATGACCCCACCTCCAAAGTTTATAAATGTTCCAAGGGATGATTTAATAAATCCTCTAAAGATAAAACATACTTTAATAGGTATCAGTGCAAGAATACAAAAAAATACTTTAACATCAAAACTGGAACAATATTTGAAAACTCTAAGTTACCATTATTAAAATGGATTTATGCTTTCTACCTTTTTGCCAGCCATAAGCAAGGAATTTCCTCTTGCCAACTGGCTCAAGACATTGAAGTTAATCAAAGAACTGCTTGATTTATGCTTCATCGGTTACGTCATGCTTCCGATCTCTCTATTTTTAAAACCATGTTAAAAGATTTTGTGGAAGCAGATGAAGTTTATCTGGGAGGCAAAAATAAGAATAGGCACTGGGATAAAAAGGCACCCAAATGCCAAGGTCGAAGTTGAAAAGATAAAGTTCCTGTGGAAGTGATGGTAGAAAGAGGAAGTAACGCAATTGCTCAAGTAGTTCCTAATGTTAAACAAAAAACATTGGAGCCATTAATTAGAGCTAATGTTAAAGAGGGAAGTAATGTTTTTACTGATGAATGATTTGCTTACAAAGATTTAAGGAAATGATACGAGCATGGGGTAGTAAATCATCGTGCTAAGCAATATAAAAAAGGAAAGGCTTCTACTAATTCAGCCGAAAACGTTAACTCTCGCCTCAAAAGAGGAATCTATGGAACTTATTATTGGGTAAAAAAGAAAAATGTCCAAAGATATGTAAATGAGGTTATTTTTCGTTTTAATACTCGAAAATATAGCACGCAAGATAGGTTTGATTTATTGCTTTCATCAGCTGCAGGAAAGAGGTTAACTTATCAACAATTAATCAGTTAAAATCAATTAATAATGAATAAGGAAAACAGAGTTCCTCTAAAAGAACAAAACAAAATATTATGCAGTGGATGCGGAGTGCATACTGACTCTTTTTTTATCACTAAATACAAAGATGGTAAAAGTTATTGTAGCTCTTGCAACATAAAATTACATGTAGAGAAGCATGATAAAGAAAATATAGCAAAAGAGTCAGAGCTTGATCAGATGCTGAAAACTGCTATAAATACTCCACCACTAAAACTTAAAGATCTTAAAGAAAAACTTAGAAAGGAAGAAGAAGAAAAAAAGAGGAATTCTGAGGAGAAAAAAAATTCTAAGTAGGTATCTCTTTAATTTTTTGGTGTAAAATTGTGCATAAATGCCTT